TGAGACTAAAACCGCCTTCTTACTATCCGCTGCCACTGCCGTCCTTCCCCTGAGAAAGAGACCTACTTCCTGTGTATCTGTCTTTTTATTGAGTTTCTGTTCTGCCTTCTCATTGGTTGTAAACCCGTCCACATCCTCCTCATCACTGCCTGTCTATACAGACCTCCAGGTCTCTATGGTTGGTATTGAGATTAAAGGCGTGTGTCTCCATGCTGGTGGTGTCCTTGAACACACAGAGATCTGCCTGTCATGTGATCGGGATTAAGGGCGTGTGCTACCACTGCCAGACTTCTGCTATGGCTTGCTATTAGCTCTGACCCCCAGGCAACTTTATTTATTAACATACAAATAAAATCACATTTCAGCACAAATAAAGTATCACCATAATTATATATACAATAGGAATGATTATTAAGTATTGTCAAGGAGAAATAATGGGTAATGACCTAAGCAAAATGGAACTACAACCAACAAGAACAACATCAAACAAGAGATACATACTAAAATCCAGAGATGTCTAGAACACAGGTAAATGGTATGTTAGAGAGATTATTCCAAAAGCTGTCTTATCCTGAAGAATCTGAATCTAGTACTTAGTATGTTCTAGCTAAGATACGAGAAGATTGTAACTGTAACTATCTAGTCTTCAACCCCATCAAAGACCTGAGAAGGAATATAATAATACCTGAGAAAATGGGAAATGCATGCAAGCATGGGAAATATTTCGAGAATAGACAGAGACAGCTGGAAGCCTGGACAGTCACCTAAAGTTTCTCAGCACTGTTAGGATATCTAATTTGGTTCCAGGCCTAGAATATCTGAGAAACCATTTTTAGAAGCAGGAATTTTGAAAGACCATCTTATCCTTTCTTGGCAGAGTTCAGTTGCTTTTCCTTGTGTCTTGCTCATCTGGAAAGGACAGCATTCATATTGTCAGCAGTCGAGACAAGGGCTGTTCTTTGCCCAGTAGGCCACTATGCTCCAGGAAGAAGACAAATTTCCAAACTGAGTGTCTGAAAAGCCCAACATTCTCTAAGGATCAGATTGGTGCTGTCAGGAGCAATGGTGTCTCACGTCATATTATTTAAATGCCATATTCTCTAGGTCTATGACGTGTTTGAAGATTACCTGTCCATCTGATCTATGTATCTGTAAATCTGGACAACCTAACTATATAACTATAGAAATGACAAGCATGGGTGGCTATAATTCTGTAAGTCTTATCTAGCTAAATAACTTAAGGACTAAGGCTTATATAAACAAGGTAAATAGTCTATAAGCAAATGTACAGTAAAAGGACAATGACCGCCAGGCTGTGGTGGCACATGCCTTTAATCCCAGCACTCGGGAGGCAGAGGCAGGAAGATCTTTGTGAGTTCGAGGCCAGCCTGGGCTACAGAGCAAGTTCCAGGACAGGCTCCAAAGCTACACAGAGAAAACCCTGTCTCGAAAAACCAAAAAAAAAAAAAAAAAGGACAATGACCTCAAAATTGTGACAATACACAAAATATCTTAAACAGAGGTAGAAATGTATAGCGCAATATGCAATATGACAACAATATGTATCAATATACAAAATATCCTAAACAGAGGTAGAACATACATACAGTACGACAAATATAATTTTACATTTGTATCAATATACAAAATATTTCAGATAGGAGTGGAAATATGTGTACAATATGGAAATTATAGTTTTGAATTTGTATTAATTTACAAATTATCTTAAATATGAATATAAAAATAGTTTACATTTATATCAATATATAAGAATCCATAGCAACACAAATTATCTGAAGTTGATACTTTACTAAATTAGTTTCCTAGTATACACAATAATCTGCCTTAATATCCTATACCTATCCATTCTTAAGGAGAATACTGAGTCTAATTTTTGTTCCATCCCCAACCCTATAACCATCATCTATAACCCTGAGAAATAGGAAACCTTTGGGAGAGGGGGAGTTGTCTTCTAGAATTGCTTGATTTGTAAAAAGAATTCAGCTAATGAAACCTCCAGGATGGAAGCTTATAATTGCTGTAGGAGAGATAGCCTGTACTGAAACCATCAGGACACAAGTGTCGCAACAGAATTCTCTGGTTCAGTTTGGAAAGCACTGAGTGTGTGCAAGTGTGCACACTTGTGTGTGCACATGTGTACATGCATCTGTCTGTCTGTCTGTTCTACCTGCTTTTATTGCTGATGCTAGTCTTGAACTCCTGGACTTGAGTAGAACCTGAGATGGCCTCTGCGTCAGCTCCTGCCTCCAGGTTGCTGCCTTGTTTGAGGTCCTGCCCTCACTGGTTTAAATGATGAACTATTATATGGAACTGTGAGGGAAATAAACCTTTTCCTCCCAACTTGCTTTTGGTTGTGGTATTTCATCACAGCAATAATAGCCATAACAAATACAGGTAGATATGATCAAAATACATTGTATACATGTATGAAAGTTTCAAAGAATATATAAATAAAATAAAATTTTAAGTGAATGAAGCCCACCTAAGGAATGTGTAGTATTCAAAGAATAATTTTATAGACGAAAACTTATCTCAGGCATAAGAAAATAAATCATGAAGCACAAAAAGACAAATTGCCAAAATTATAATTTTTAAATTAATAGTTACACAGTGCCATGACAAATGAAGCTGAACGAAAAATGAAAATTCATTTTTAAATCTAGCTTGACTCAGCCCATGCTTCTTTGGAAAGTGATTGAAGGGTATGCACAAGCTATCAAAACCCTCAAAGGTTTGCTGAGCGCATCACCCCGAAAGCAAAGTGCACTGAAAATGTACAAAACTCACTACAATTGAAGCGTTTTTCAGACACTTGCTGGCCCCCAAAGACTTCTGTTGTAAAGTTTCCAAGGTTTGTTTTAACAAAGGACATCTAAAAAATCTTTTTTATGTGAGTAATAACCAGCTGAAGCAGATCTGTGCTGGAGGGCAGGGGAAAGAATCTGGATTTGGGGACATTTGAAAAAAACATAACGTGTTTGTTTTCCTTTGGTTGGACCTGCTGGGTTTTAAAGGAACTCCTAGGGATTCCTCTCTTCCCCCTTTGGATCCAGTTTATCCATTATAATTGATTGAGTTCCAGCTGTTGGTCAGAGACTGTGCTAATAGCGTGCATGCCTTCATTCTGTGGGCCAGGGACTGTGCTAATGGTGTGCATGCCTTCATTCTGTGGGCCAGGGACTGTGCTAATGGTGTGCATGCCTTCATTCTGTGGGCCAGGGACTGCTGATATCTAACATCATGTGCTTCTTCTTTCATCTAACAAACACTCATGGAGGTCTCATTGGAAGGCTAGTGTGGCAGTAGAATCAGATGCTCACAACAACCCTGCAACGCGGGAATCTTCATTCATGTTCTATAATTAGGAAAACAAGGCCAACAGATGTTAATGCAGCTTGCGAAGAGACTGTCTTGTGTTAAATATCTTAGGATATTTTTCTTACTGGGTATCCCAGGATGGCCTGGAATTCCTTATGTACTCTAAGCTGCCTGCCTCCATTTTGCAGCAACCCTATAGTCCCAGCCTTGGAAGTGTTGAGGTTACAGATGTGAGTTTCCACCCCCAACCCTATTACCATTTTTTTAACTGGGTAAACATAAGATGTGAGTACTTTACCTAGTTTAGAGTATGGATATTATTACACTTTGTAAAGTGTGAAGTTTTTATTTGGCTTAATAATTTTATTGTGTGCCGGGCGGTGGTGGCGCACGCCTTTAATCCCAGCACTCGGGAGGCAGAGCCAGGCGGATCTCTGTGAGTTCGAGGCCAGCCTGGGCTACCAAGTGAGTTCCAGGAAAGGCGCAAAGCTACACAGAGAAACCCTGTCTCGAAAAACCAAAAAAAAAAAAAAAAAAAAAAAAAAAAAAAAAAAAAAATAATTTTATTGTGGAATAATAGAAATAAGGTATATTGTACATTAGTAAGAGTTTGGGCGGCTCGCACACGCATACCCAGGAAGCACCATCAGGGCCACCGTGTGGAGCACATCCCTCACTCCCAAAGGTTCTCTCACAGAAGTGTCCCTTTGTCATCTGTCCTAACTTCCTGCCACTCCACATTAATTTGCGTTTTGTACAATGTTTTATATGAATTATTCAGAGTATGCACTCTCATTTTTAGCTAGCTGCTTGTTATAATTGTTTGTTTGTCTGTTGGTTTGGAGGGGACAGGTTCTTACTGTGTAGCCCAGGCTGGCCCCACACTCACAATCCTCCTGCCTCAGCTTCCCTACTGCTAGGATTAAAAGTGATGGCCATTTTTACTTGAGAATAGAAGACTTTTACTGATTTTTAGTGATACCCACCCCCAGGCTCAGTTATGACGTGGGGTCCTGACCCTGACTTCAAGAAGCTGTGTAAGCTCTGTTAGCCCCATCAGCTGACAAAGCAGTGTACTGCCATCTGTGAGGGATGAGCTCCATGACCTTCAGTAGCCGCATCAAGGCACAAAAGCACAGATTTGTTCTATAAACAAGACAAAGGAAGAAGCTAACGGTGTTATTAATAAAATACAGCGTTGTGACTGTATCGTGGAAGAAAGCTCCCATGAATCACCCTGGAAGTACTGAGTTGTGCTTCCGGCTTTATACTTGGAGTGTTTTTACGGCTTTTCTTGTGGGCATCCCAGTCACCAGCGTCTCTGCTTTGCACTTTGGCACCATTATTAAGTTAAAAGGGGGCGGGTCGCTCGAGCCCAACCGCGGCAGTCCCACAGCCGCCTGCCTCATTACCAGGGTGGCAAAGTGGTTGATGGGCAGGTGCCCTGCGCAGTGTGGGTGAGCCGCCCCAGGGACATTGCCTAGCAGCATGGAACCGGACGGCTCAAGGTCTCATCACTCTAAGGAGACTGCCGTGCAACTGAAAACTCAGAAGGGCTTCATCTCTGGAATTTTCCATTTGCTGTTTCCTGACATCAGTAGACCTTGAGTAACGAACTGAAACTGTAGAAAGTGAAACCGCAGACGCAGGGAGACTCCTACCTGGACTCCAGTTTCCTTGTCCTAGCAACGGCGGAGGGAGAGGCACGTGATCTTTCGTTGTTGCACGTTTGTCTAATTCTCTTCAGCTGTTGCTTCAAGTTTTGAAGTTCTGTCTTTAGACACATAAATCCTAAAATTAATGCTTCCTTCCTTCCCCCTCCCCCCTCCCTTCTTTCCCTCTCCCTCCCTCCCTCCCTCCGTCCCTCCCTCCCTCCCTCTCTTCCTTCCTTCCTTTCTTCCTGCTGCTGGGAAATGAACTTAGGACTTAGGGCCTCACACATGGTAGGCGCCATGTTCATACTACATTCAGTCAATAGGTATTTCTTAAACTCTCACAAAGCCCCTGAGAGCCCTCACAAAGGCTCTGAAAACACGGCTGTGAAAAAGGCAGGTCTCAGGGCTGGAGAGATGGCTTAGCCCTTGAGAGCACTGGCTGCTCCTCTGGAGGACCCTGTCCAACTCATAGCAACAGTGTCAGATGGCTCACGACTACCACACTCCAGCTCCAGGGGCTCCAACACCCTCTTTCGGACTCAGTGGGCATCTGCACTTACATGTGCCATACGAACACACACACACACACACACACACACACACACACACACACACACACACACTTAAATTTAATTTAAACTAAAATTAAGTTTAAAATAATGAACCTTTTATAAGATCAGTCTTTCCTTTCACAGAGCTAATAGTCTAGTGGGACAGTTATAAAATCCATTTATATGCACTTAAGGGAAAGTCCTACAATAAGCAGCTTGTAGCACACCCTTATGTTGTCAAACAGGAAGACACACCAGCAAATGAATATTTTCTTTCTGGACAACATGATTTTATAAGTTATTCTTAAAGAAAAACATTTGGGATAAATTACACCATAGAAGGAATAAGCATGTTCCCAGCAGAGACGCAAGTGGGCAGTCCAAAATTCACGTTGCAGGCAATTCCATGGTCTCAGAAAGACTGGCCACTTCCTGCCTCCTGTGTGAATAGCCAGCTTTAAGAATTGTATTAGATACCACTTGTGGTTTGGGAACACTGCCAGCTTGCACCTATTCTGGCCAGTCTTGGATCTGTTCAGTAGAGTGCACACATAACTTTTTCCTGTGACGGTTTGCCTATTGATCTAACACTGGCTTCCTTGGACCACGAGTCACAGGTTTTCTGGTGTATTCCTTCGCCATCTAGTGGTCAAGGATTACTCACCTTTGCCCTCCATTTTAGAACCCAGAGGAGTTAGTGGTCCCTAGACTTAGTTCAGTTAAAACTTTAAGAAATTCTGTGTGAACTATTTTTTAATTGAAAATATATCTTTTCATATACTGTGATCATGGTTTTCCTTACCCCAATTCCTCCCAGATTCTCCCCACCTCCCTACCCACCCAAATCCACAGCCTTTCTTTCTCCCTCATTAAAAACAAACAGGCAGCTGGAAAAATCAAACGAACCAGAATAGGAAAACAAAGAGAAAAAAAGGGAGCCAAAGAAAAAGCACAAGAAACACATACAGATGCAGACGTGCCCACACACACACACAGGCGGGTGGGGAGGGGACCATATAAACACAAAATCGGAACTCATAATATATAAGCAGAAGACCTGTACGGTTAGAAAGAAAGAAGGAAGGGAGGGAGGGAAGAAGGAAGGGAGGAAGGAAAAATGCAGGAAGGAAAGAAAGAAAAGCCTAGACAAAGCATTCAGAAAAAAACAAACCTCCAGAAATACCATTGAGTTTGTTTCTGTGCTGGCCATCTGCTGCCGGGCATGGGGCCTGCCCTGAAGTGTGGTTTGTCTACCCAGTGAGACTCCATTCGAGAAAACTGTGTTTTCCTTTGTGAGCAGTTGTCAGTGAGAAATAACCTCTGGGCTAGGGATGGGAGGCTTGTGTCTACTTCCCTTCTCAGCACTGGGACCCCATCTGGCGTAGACCTCCGCAGGCTCTGAGCATGCTGCCAGTCTCTGAGTTCACGTGTGTCGGCCCTTCTGTGTCTAAAGGTCTTCTTTCCTGGATGTCCTCCACTCCCACCAGCTCTTACAATTTTCCCACCTGTTCTTCTGCACAATCCCCGGAGTCCCGAGGGGAGGGATTTAATGAGACGTTCTATTTAGGACATCGAGTTCCCAGGTCTCTCACTCTCTGCACATTGTCCAGTGTGGGTATCTGTATTAGTTCTCATCTGCTGCAGGAAGAAGCTTCTCTGATGATGGCTGAGCAAGAAACTAATCTACAGATATAACAAAATGTCATTAGGAGTCATTTCACTGCTAAGTTCCTTTAGCAGAGCAGTAGCATTTGGTTTTTCCCTACATTCCCAGCCTGTCTAGTCTCAAGTTCTTAGACAGCGGAGAACGTCAGGCGTGGGTTCCCTCCCATGGAGTGGCCTTAGAGCTAATCAGACAGTGGTTGGTGACTCCACAATTTTTGTATCACTATTGCACCAGTGGCTCGTGCAGACAGGTCATCACTGGACAGTGAAGCCTTCGTAACTGGGCTGGTGTTTAGCTTTCTCCTCTAGAGGCATGCAAGAGTACCTTCCGGTACCATGAACTAGTCCGTAAGGATGAAGGCTCCAGGTAGACACCAGCTTCACTTCTCCATGAGAAATTCTGTATGCATTTTAAGGAGAAAGGCTATACTCTAATAGCTTCTGAATTCCTTTAGAACAGCCTTCACAGCCTGCCACATACTTTTTCAGCAGTGGCATAGTTGTTAAGAGTGGATTCTGGTGTTGATGGTCTGTGTCTAAAATCTCAAAGCCACAGGTCACTGTTTGACCAAGTAAATGGTTGTGCCTCTCCGTTCCTTGCCTTTTCTCTATCCTGCCTGGAAAAAAAGTGAGAAGATAAAAGGACTATATAACAGAGGTGGCTACATCATTGGACATTGTGCAGATGGGTTGATATAGAAATGCACACTATTTAGTGCCTGGCTCGTAGCAAGTAGTCAATAAAAGTCAGGTGCAAGAATTACTAACACCAGAGACTGAAACTCTGTGGTGCATAAGAATGGCTTTGAATTCACTAAATACCAAGGCTATCCCACTCAAGTCTGAGTAAATGTGGTTGATGGAAACATTTTTCTCTGGCTCTTGGACTGCACAGCATGAAACTGTTTTATTGAGCCACCATCATGGTTCAGCAGGTAAGGTGATTGTGATGATCGTCACACAAGCCTGAAGACCCGAATTTGATCCCTAGTACCCACATGGTTGAAGGAGAGAACAGATTTCTGAAAGTTGGTCTCTGACTTTCACACACTTGCTGTGCACATGTACGTGCACGCACACACACACTCAGATTTTTCAAACCCCCACTATTTTCTTGATGTTGACACTTTCCTTAGTGTTTATGGGCTCCCTACCTTTCCCCCTCTTCAATTTTGCCTCACCCATCTCTAGGAGAACAAAAGAGCACTCCCTCAAGTTAGAATATGATTCAATTTTTAAATATTTACTTATTGTTGTGTGTGTGAGTGTTTTGCTCGCATGCATATATGTATGTGTGTATATATATATATATATATATATATATATATATATATATATATACATACACACACACACACCTCATGTGTGTTAGGTGCTCATGGAAGCCGAAAGAAGGCATTGGGTCCCCTGAAACTGGAGTTACAAATGATGGTTAGCTGTCATGTGGGTGCTGGGAACTGAGCCAAGGTTCTAGAAAGAGAAGCCAGTGCTCTTAAATACTGAGCCTCCTCTCCAGTCCCAGAATATGACCCATATTTACAAAGCCTGTTTTATGTGTATCCACAGGATGTCACTACGGAGAGAAGTAGCAGCACTCCAGTGGTGTTTATCTCTAAAAGATGTGGCATTAAGTGCATTTTGTTATTTGGCACATGCTTTTCTCTATTTTCCAAAAGCTTAACAATATTATAAATTTTACATCATAAAAAAATCTTTCTCTAAAATAAAATGACATCAGCTAATTGAAAGAAAAATCCTGGTATTTTGGCCTCAGGATAGCTGTCCCCTTATACCACTTGCACATTTGACTCTAACGTGTAAATATATTATAACATAGTTGGTGGTGGCCTAAAAAGGATGGGGGTTCCTGCTAAACTGAAGCCTAATGAGTCTTGGACTAAATCACTGCCGTATTGGGAAAGGGATGAATGGAATAATGTGTGGCAAGCAACAGGAAATATAACATACATCTTAAAAGACCTTTCTCTCTAAACAGGTACGTCTTCTATCCATGTTCTTCTGAAGGAAAAGGTGTTAAGCCAGGTGAAAGCCCTGAAGTCAGCGGAAGTAAACCCCTACCACAATCTGGAGGCTGGAATAGCCAATATTCTCAAGCCGATAGAAGACTTCTGCACCAAGTTCTTTGTGGGAACAGAGGTAAACTAGAACTGTCTGGTCTTTAAATTACATCCCCCGCTGTTGTAGTTTTATAACCTTTATTTTACATGTTTCCTGTCTGAAGGCAGTTTCATGTTTTAATATGGTCATTGGTATTTAAGATTTTGAACTTAAGTGCCTCGTAGACTCAGGTTTGAAATCTTAACGGGTTGGGGATGTTGTCAGCCGAGTACCTACCTAGCATGCACGAGGCCCTGGGCTCCATCCCAGCACCACCTAGAACAGGCTTGATAGCACACATTGGTGATCTTAGCACTCAGAAGGTGGAGGCAGGAGGCTAGAGGAGCACAAGATCAAGGTCAACTGGACCTAGGTGACCCGGAGTCAGTTGTCAAGTGTCCACGTCTTCGTGGCAGGACCACTGCCTCCCATTGTCACTCACAGCTTCTGTCTCTTTCCCACTTTTCTGGCTGTCTCCTCTGTTGCTTCACATTAGCCCCTCTACCTTCCCCTCTCCGTAAAACGGCCATAGGTTAGCACCAGACATTCCAGTGCTTAAATCTGAGTGGAGGTTTGTGCTCTCTGCTCTTGACTTGAAAAGGTAAATGTTATGATGCGTCTTCCCTCTCTGTCTTACTCCGGGTCTTTATCAAGTCCTGACTTGGTTAAACGCTGAGAACAAACCACTGAATGACCCAAACCTGCCCTCGTCCCCCAGTCATCCTCAGACAGTTATGCATAACAAGTCTCCACGGCTACCCAGGTTACTCATGTCACTGTGTGTGCATAAAGCAAACTCATTTGTCAC